TTAATGTGAATGCACTATGAACGCACTGAAAGAACTCAATCCATTCTTCGATGACTATGGTAATCCTACTGCATAATTCTTAGACTTTATTGCCACGGAAATGTGCTCTCCATTGCCATGTGGACCTACCACTTCTTGTCACCCATGATGTTCATGCCACGCTGTGGAACCTTTCGCTTATATCTTACCTGCTTCGCCGTTCTCCATTAACTATTCATTGTCCTGTCTTCAAATGTCAATGCAACCGACAACAACATTCAGTACAACTAAAACTCGCGGGCGAAGCCGTGCTGGCCACATCTTGTGATTATTAAAGCATAACCTAGGCTACCAGCTGGGCCGTCCCGGTCACACTATTTTCCCGGACGGCCCGGCCGTGCAAGGAACAGGGAAGGTCCTAGCAAGAAAACTGAACAAAAAAAAAATCAATTAAATCCGAAAAAACACCGGACCACTCTGGTAACGTAGAGCATAACTAGTTTGCCATTGTTGCTACATTTATTATGGTACAGAAAAGTTAAAACTGCCAGTACCTCCTTACCTCTTTTTCCTGATGCGAATTGTGCTGCACACGAAAATAGTAACAAATGCACGCAGGCACATTTCTTTGGCTGGCGGCTCTAGCCATTTTGTTCCTGGTTGGCAAGATGTTTGTGCAAGCATGTGGCATTCTGAGCCACACGGGCCCCAGTTAGGGCCCGGTTCCAAGTAGGCAGAGTAGGCCTTAGGGACTACGGTTCAGATGAGGCCCAGATAGGCCAGAACCACGGCGGTTCAGGCAGGGCAGGGGTAGAGGCCCAGGCCAACGGCCACAAGGCCAGTACCGGTCCAGCATAGGACCTACCGGTGGCACTGCAGAGGCTGCCGCGTTTAGGTGCCAAATTCCAGTTTTAAAACTGCACCGTTGATCAGATCAACGGTCCACGGTCCAGGCCGGTAGATACCAGCAGGTAGGAGGCCGGCCCAGCACTACAAAAGGCTGGGTACCAGCCTCAGTAGGGAGGTTAGAAGTTAGAAAGGTTGGAGTTAGTCTTCAGGATTAGGGTAGCGTTTCAGCGTTAGGAGATTAGCGCAGCGCAGCAGCATTAGAGCGAGCAGCGAGGAGAGACCAACGCAGCGGCGAGGAGGAACCAGCACAGCAGGACCAGCTCCAGCCACCGGCCCAGTCCGCGGCCCAGCGCCAGCCCCTGCAGCGCCATAACTACCGAACAGGTACCAGGGAGAAAAGGCCTCTCCTTCTCTCCCTCTTCCTCCTCCGCAACTCTCTCTCTCTCTCTCTCTCTCTCTCTCTCTCTCCTCCTACCTTCTCAGTAGTCTACTTCTGAGTTCTCCTACGGGACTACGATGAGTATGGAAGATGGTTACGAATTCTGATGACATTGGAGACGGCGACATTGGGACCACAGGTTGAGGACTACTTGTGGGATCTGATTTCATCTGCCTCTGGAGATGTACTTGACATTGTGAGATCGATATCTGAGACATTGTGGGACATTGTATTCACGACATTTCGGACTTTCGCCATCTCTGACATTTCAAGATACTATCTTTGGAAACGTTGAGTTGACGTCATCTTCCCTCTCCTCCTCCCTTCGTCTCTCTCCTCCCTCCATTCGTCCGTGGATGATCTCAGACCCTGGCCTTTCGTCTATGTCTAAGGCCAGGGCTTTTACACCCCTGATGAATGATTGAGAGTGTTCGATTGCAGTCCGGGTCAGGTCAGAGTCAGTCCATGGGTATCAACTCTTCCGCTGTATTTGTATCAACTCTGTATTATCTGGTCGGTTCTGGGAATCTGCGCCATACTTATGACTGTGTTTCACGAGTATGCAACAAAGCAGCTCAGGCAAAAAAAAAAACCGCCTAACAGAGGTAGTGGTGATTTAAACCACCAGTACATACATGCCTCGTTTGGCAGATGTGGATTCCCGCTCCATTCTGAAATGTCAGCATGGCGTTTTTTTTATTGTTTTTTTTTACCTATTTTGGTTGGCGCAGCCAGTCAATATTGTCTGGTAGCTCTGTTCACCCGGAATCTGCGGATTGGATCGATCTCGAATCTCAAGTTTGCCTGGGCAACGTACTGGCGGCTTGAAACACAGTCCATGTGCACTCTAATGGCCCGTTGCGACAAATACTCCGAAGCATGGATTATTTTGAGATTAGCTTAGATATGAGCCACCTTGATGACATGCACCCCAGCTTGGGAAACAAGTGCTATGAAATATCTTGAAGTTTCCCAGAGGCACTTTTGTTAATCATCTGCAAGTGACATGACTGGAGTGGCTCATAATGTTGGCTTTCTGCGATGTAAAGAAATGCCGCCAATGTGTGTCCTTTGTGAGAATGTTGGCTCTTTGTTGCTTTTCTTTTAGTGCTGGCTATTTGGTTTAGTTCTTCGTCGTTCTATTTTCTCGTTTGGAGAAAGGCCGTCCTCATTTTATTGCCCAAGATTTCCATTGCTGGTGTCTTTTCATGTTTTGTGGCTCTGGTGATGCAAACAACCACTGCTCGCAAACCATTTTTTGGCGATCCTGTTGGCCTTCCCAACCCTGGAGCACCACACTTAACCTGGTGAGTACTCTTTGACTGATTCCTGGAAGTACTTGAGGTCAGGTATATCCAGTACCAACCTCAGATATATCCAGTACCAACCATGGTTGCAGTTGGATACCTGCAGGAAAGTGCAAGTATGCTCTCTCAGGTGTCTGGGGTTGCAGCATCGGAGCAGATTATGCTCGCAGGCCTTTGGAGTTGCATGGAAGCAGAGTACGCCCTCAGGCCTCTGGGGTCGCAGCACGATAGCAAACATCAGTGTTTGGTGTTTATTGGCAGTGTAATTTGTGAGGGAGCTTGTGGTTGGTGCCCACCTGCAGCTGGATTCCAGATGGATCAGGCTCCGGAAGCGTCCTCAAAACTCTGGCGAAACACTGTCACAGTCGTCCGTCCGTTCCTTTTTCCTTTTCGCCTAGGTTTACAGAGATTCTATTTGTCCCCATTTTCTGTCAACTCTTGTTTCCTGCCTATCTGTCTTGTTTGGAATGTATTTCCTGGCTGTGGCAGGGCCTTTCTTCTTGTTCTATGGAGGCTTTTCTGGCATTTGGGAGTGGTTTGAAGATGCCATGTGTGGTCTTCTTTGGTGGTGGTGGGTGATTCTCGGCTTTGAATTTTGTCATAGGTCTCATACAGGGCAGGGGTTGGTTCCAATCTCGACAAGCGGTGGGGTGGTGGATGTTGCCCACCGGCAATTGGTATTAAGGCTAATTTGAGACAAGTGGTGGTAGCTCAGTGGGTTAGAGCTCTGGCATTGCAATGTGGTGTTTGAGGGTTGTATCGTCTCCATCCTCAACCTCCCCTGTGCATGCTCCATTGGGTATAGGTTGTCACCTCATGTACTTGTCTCCGAGCCCAGCCCACAGAGAGATTAGTTGATGTAGTAGCTCAGTAGGTCTGAGCCGGTGTGCTGCAAGGGATAGGTCCAGGGTTAGATTCTGATGGTCCGATGCACCACGTATTTCACGTATAGCTCACTTCTAGAGAGAGGGGGTAGTGGGTGGCTGTCCTAGTCAATGCGGGGATGGGGGGTTAGGGTGCGCATTGCTCTGAAGGGGCATCATTGTGGATGGGAGGTGATGCCAGGATTGGGGCAAGAACAGATTTGGGCTGTCCTGCTCCGAGGAAGGGAGAGCACCAGGGGGGATGGTAGAGGTTGCTACGGGTGGCACAGTTGAGTCACGGGGTGTTCTAGGGGGACGGGGGGGTTGTGGGAGCTCTGCTACAAGCTAGCGCCCGAAGTACCTGTACAACGGGGCTTGTTCGAGCATGCTTCAACTAGGGCTGAGTGGGGTTCCTGCTCAGCCTCGGAGCCTGCATCCGCTGTGTGGTCTGGTTAACCAGGCATTTAGGTTCCTTGCACACCGATAAAAAAATGAACCAGTGCGGGCCTTTTTTTT